TCACGTATACTTAAAAACATTTAAAATCTTACATCAAGACACAGGTTTCTTCCTACGGCTTATAATGATTCAGTTAATTGCAACTTTAGCTGTCTGCTCCTCATGTTTCTCCTCCACCTGCGGGAACAGGAGATTCTCTGATGCTGGCAGGGGACAGCCTTCCAGAGAGATTGCAGCACTACAAGGGCCTTTATGTGCATGTGTTTGTCCATCCTTGAAACACAGCACTCACCACAGCTATGTTTCCTAATTAGAGTGAGGGGACTTCTCCCGGAATCGGCAGGTGGGGAGCACGGCCCCGAGTGGGTTGAGAGGACTGAGGGTGGGGCTGTGGCAGAGAGTGTTTTGTGGCTTCCCAGTTGTTGTCAAACCTGCTGCTGACAGGAGCCAGCCTGCCCTTTCCTTGGGGACCCAGAACCCGCACACCCAGACAGGAAAGAAACCAAGGCCTCCTGAATCAAAGTGCCCACCATGGCAATCCAAAACTCCAGGAGGAACATATGAAGACTGACTTACAAACTCATCAAGGGCACCCGTTGGGAGCTCGACTTGGATTTCTTCTCTGCACCTGGTTTCAGGCCAGAGCCATGAGGAAGCTCTGAAGAGCCCTCATCCCTCAGTCTCAGCTTCTCCCAGTCCCCGTTCTAGGCCGCAGATTGCAGAGAACACCTCAGGGTACAAACCACAGGAAGGTGAAATGGAAGGGCCAGGTGAGGAAATAAGTGCAGAGAGGTTAAGTGACTCATCCAAAGATGCACAGCTGGTCCATAGCAGAGCCCAGACTGAACCCCAGGACTCCTGGAGGCTAAGGAGATCATGAGGAACATAGTAATTGCTCAAGGAAAAGGAAAATGCTAGCATGCACAGGGGACCAACTGAGACACTGAAAACCAGGCACCAGGACCTACTGGAATCCAATGAGATTAATTTTAGAGTAATAATATAATAGGCCGGGCACGGTGGCTCAAACCTGTAATCCCAGCACTTTGGGAGGCCAAGACGGGCGGATCAGGAGGTCAGATCGAGACCATCCTGGCTAACATGGTGAAACCCCGTCTCTACTAAAAAAATACAAAAAACCAGCCAGGCGAGGTGGCAGGCGCCTGTAGTCGCAGCTACTCGGGAGGCTGAGGCAGGAGAATGGCGTAAACCCGGGAGGTGGAGCTTGCAGTGAGCTGAGATCCGGCCACTGCACTCCAGCCTGGGTCACAGAGCGAGACTCCATCTCAAAAAAAAAAAAAAAAAAAAAAAAAAGTATATAATACTGACCATACTTTACTGTGAATATACACTGTGCCCGGCACTTTACTGCATACTGCACAAACATTATTTCGCAGTGACAAGGATGGTTATCCCCATTTAACAGATGGAGAAACGAGGCTGGAAGAATATAAATAACTTGCCCAAGACCACATGAATACTGAGGGGAAATGCCAAGATTATCCCCAGCCCTTCTGCCCCCAAAGTTCAGGCCTTGACTTGTTATGATACGGACGTTCATCAGAAGGAGGGCTGTGATTCATGCCTATAATCCCAGCACTTTGGGAGGCCAAGGTGGGTGAATCTCTTGAGCCTAGCAGTTCAAGACCAGCCTGGGCAACATAGCAAAACCCTGTCTCTACAAAAAATAGATGGATGTGGTGGCTCATGCCTGTAGTCCCAGCTTCTTAGGAGGCTGAGGTGGGAGGATCACTTGAGCCTCGGAGTTGGAGGCTACAGTGAGTCGTGATCGTGCCACTGCACTCCAGCCTGGGCCACAGAGCGAGACCCTGTCTCAGAAGAAAAACACAAGAAAAGGAGGGACAATGAGCTGAATGTCCTCATTGATCTCATTTCTTTTAGGTTGCCATATGTTCAGGCCCTAGACTAAGATATCTTCTAGATGAAAGTTAAGACCAAAAGTATAAACCTCCCTGAGAGAAATCAACTCATGAGTGGGCTGGTTGGGTTACATGTGGGTGGTAGAGATGCTTTCTGGGTCAGACTTGGGCTTATATGTGTGTGTTTGCCGTGTTGAACACCATGACTCTATGTCTTGACATTTGACATTTGACGCAGAACCAGGATCCTCCTGACAGGCCAGGCCAACAAAACAGGACCTATTTTATCTAAACATTAGAAACCGAAAGATTTAGCAAAGTTGGTCAGACATTGATGCTGCACACCAAGATCTATCTGAACAACGGACAGGGCTGGATTCCGGAAGGTTTGATTCGTAAGGGAATGTAGGGGAAGATCCAAGATCCTTCCCAGGGAACGGTGCTGTGTTAATTCACTCCTAGGAGCCCCTACCTATTACCCTCAGAACAAACCCTTGGCTTGCTCGCTGCCTGGAAGAGAAATCATGCAGGCATTTCAGAGCATTAAGGAAGTTATTTCCTCCTCATATTCACTCCAAGGTCAAGGACAAGAATGCTAGCTTTGGCATTGGGAGGACCTCAGTTCAGTTCCCAGCCTGAACTTAAGTCTTGCACTGCAGTATAAAACAAGTGTTTTACTTTTCACTTCATCACATTATTGGATTTGATTATGTGGATAATCAGGGCTGCTCCAGAGCACATTTGCACGGCAGTCTACACAGTAAGCCGTACATGGCAGCTCTGCTAAACCGGCACAGCAGACGGTGGTGTGAAGTCCAGCCAGCAAAGCTCCCTCTCTTTCCCCATTCTCCATTCCTTTCCAGCTCAGTGCAGGAACTGTATCAAATTCACCCCCTATAAGCCAGGCCCTGTGCTGGGTGCTAGGAATAGAGCTACAATGAAGTCAAGATTCCTGCTGCCCAGAGACTTCCACTCTAATAAGAGAGACACAGGCAAGTAAACATAATCGCAGTGAGGTATGAGGCACGCCATTAGAGGTATGTAGGAGAAAGGAAACTGCACAGAGGAGTGTGAAATTAATTGTCTCAGAGAGGGTTAAAAAGACGTGCAGAGAGGGCCAGGCACGGTGGCTCACACGTGTAATCCCAGCACTTTGGGAGGCCGAGATAGGCGGATCATGAGGTCAAGAGATTGAGACCATCCTGGCTAACATGGTGAAACCCCGTCTCTACTAAAAGTACAAAAAATTAGCCGGGTGCAGTGGCGGGCGCCTGTAGTCCCAGGTACTTGGGAGGCTGAGGCAGGAGAATGGCGTGAACTTGGGAGGCGGAGCTTGCAGTGAGCCGAGATCACGCCACTGCACTCCAGCCTGGGCAAAAGAGAGAGACTCCTTCGAAAAAAAAAAAAAAAAGACGTGCAGAGAAGTATTACACAAACCACGTTTTGGAGGATGAACAGAAACAGTGAAAATGATAGAGCAAGCAGAGGGGAAGAGCTCATGGAAAGGGATAGAGTATGAACCAGAGGACCCCTGGGCTCTTTCAGGAATGTGGCTACTCACTTATCATGTCACCAGCACAGCTCACCAACTCAGACACCTGCAGGAACAGCTCCTCTGGCCTGCTCCCTGCTTGTGCCTCCATGGGTCTCTGACACCCTTAGCTTAGGCCTCCTGCTCCTAATTCTGGCCTCCAGGCCCGTGGCCCCAGTAACATGTTTTGGATCCATTTCCTTGGCCTTGACCTCCTGGACTCTTGGGCATAATCCACTCTACGATCTGCAACTGTGAATGAAAGACCCTCTTCCTTCCACCCTGCCCTGTGGTGTCCCAAAGACCAAGCCAGCCCAGCTTCCCCGACAGCGACCAGATGCATACAAAGAACTGTAAGTGTCTCACGGAGCTAAACTACTACACATGAGTGGCAGTAGACGTGGTTCCAGAGGCAGACAGGACACCAGTCCGATTCCAGCTAAGGAGTCCTGCGGACATGGGGAGCCACTGAAGGGCCTGATGCTGGGAACTGGCAAATTCTGAGTTGCCTTCCCAGGGGCTGCTCCAGAGGGGACAGGGTGGATGTATTGGAGAGAGAAGCACTAGGAGCAAAGAAAAAAAAAAGTGCATGGGAAGCCATTGCACTAGTCTGAGCAAGATTTTGAGTAGGAGACGAAGTCAGGCTTGCCTGCCTTTCGTGGCTAGGACAATCACGAATCTCCCTGAAGGCAGGGGCAGGACAGACCCGAGGTCCCCCTCACTCTTTCTTGTGATTCTGATTGTTATTGAAAGCTGCCTCCTACCACATCACTATCCTCATTCCTCCCCCAATTCTCTACCTCCTTCTCTTCCTCCTCCTCCTCTTCCTCCTCTATTCTCTCTCCCTCCCTCTGTCCCTGCTTCTTCTTCCTCCTCATCCCCTTTTGTCTTCTTTCTCTCTCTCCCTAAAGCAATATGGCTTGCCTCCTGCCTCTAGCTCAAGCTGCCAGACAAGACAAAATGGAAAAGTAAGACAGAAAAGGAAGTCTGAACTATAAAAAGCCAGCTGAAGAGCAATCAGCACGTGTCTGGGAGAGGCAGACGTGACAGGAGGAGCTCGGCCTTGCAACTGTCAATCAGAGGCTCCCGAGTAAGGAGACCCGACAAAGGTCTGGGCCTTCATGAGTCTGGAAACCCTGGGGTGCTCAACAACAAAAAAACAACTTTTGTCATGGATTTCGTCACCTAGGCTCCTGGAGGAGGAAATCACAGCTCTCCCCAGCAATCCTGCCAGGCAGATGGGGGGAAATAGGGAGCCATTGAATAGCACCCACAGGCTCATGCTCCGGCTTCCCTTGTGACCACCTGCCACCTTCACTGTGGCCCAGAACCATCTTCAGTGACTCTCCACAGGTCACAGCAACCTGTTTACAGACAGCTAGAATTCCCAGGCACTTTTAGGACAGGGGACTCGGGATGGTTCCAAGCAGACAGCAAAGTCTTCTCTAAGAGAAGCCACTCCTCCCAATCTATTTTTGCCGATGTAAACACTTGCCAAGGAAACACGGCATGTGGGCATGCGCGGGCCCTCCAGGCCCTCGGGTTGCTGCAAAAGGCAACTGGAAAGTCACATGTCATAACAGTGGAAAGTACATATGCAACTATTCTTAGCCCTGGAATGTATACACTGTCTCCTTGGCCAGCAGTCCTTGCACAAAGCTCTAGAAAACTATGAAAGTGCCTTCAGCATAAACAAATCCAGAAATCTCCCAGGACAAATCATTTGCCAACTGAAAGAAAGGCCTGGAGTTTATGGTTTCCCTCAGAGCTAGAGGTAGAAACTCTCCGGGGGGACAAGCCAGACCAGGCACCAGTGGATGTCACCGCGGCAAAACAAGGTAAGTATCCCTCATGCTTATTTCTTCTGCAGGTAGACAGCCAGGTGTCATCCAATAAACCAGGGGATTGTTTGGTCTTTCCTTCTATTTATTCCATCTTTAAAACAAGACTCAATGAAGTTATATTTAAATATATGTATCAAAGGTCCATTTTCTTCCCTCATTTCTGTCCAGTGACCAGAGGGCCACACCTCCAGAGTATCGCCTTTGGGGAATGATTGACACCCAGAAAGAGATGTTTAGACAAGTTTACTCAATAACAGATATGCCATCGATCTGGAAAAAGGCTCAGGAACTTCTGCTGGCCAAATGCATGGACTGTTATCTTGCTTCAGACTAACATTTCAGCTTCTGATAATAGAGTAACTTCCAACAACTTTAGTTTGTTTGGTTGGTTGTTTCTCTCAGATTAGCTGAAGATACTATATGCCTATTACTTTCGAAAATAACCATAACCCAAAAGAGCTCAGGTCTGAGATGTATGTGGCCTTCCTTTCCAATCTTCCCTACACAATATCCGTGGTGACATCCACAAACATCATGGGGAATGGAATAGGAGCACTGGTCTTACAGTCCCCGCAGCTGAACCTTCCAGCGCCTGCAGCTGAGAAAGACTTGACTCTTGCTGACTCTGGGGGCTTCCTTCCCTCTTTGTAGGATGGACGAGGAGTCTCCAGATGGGGTGCTCTTCAAAGATCATGACTTCTCTTCTGACTTGTTGAGGCAGCTCAACAGCTTAAGGCAAAGCAGGATCCTGACTGATGTGAGCATCTGTGCCGGTGCCCGGGAGATCCCCTGCCACCGCAACGTGCTGGCCTCCAGCAGCCCCTACTTCAGGGCTATGTTCTGCAGCAGCTTCCGGGAGAAGAGTGAAGCCAAAGTGCAGCTGAAAGGCATTGACCCCCCAACCCTGGACCAGATCGTCTCCTACGTGTACACGGGGGAGGCACGCATCGATGCTGACAATGTCCTCCCCGTAATGGAGGCCGCCTCCATGCTACAGTTCCCCAAGCTGTTTGAGGCCTGCTCCTCATACCTGCAGAGCCAGCTGGCCCCCAGCAACTGCCTGGGCATGATCAGACTCTCAGAAATCTTAAGCTGCGAGACCCTCAAGAAGAAAGCCAGGGAGGTGGCACTGACGTCCTTCCCAGAGGTGGCCGCATCAGCCGACCTGAAGGAGCTCTGTGCCTTGGAGTTGAGAGACTATCTGGGAGATGATGGGCTCTGTGGGGAGGAAGAAAAGGTGTTTGAGGCCCTCATGGTTTGGATCAAGCATGACCTCCAGGCCCGGAAGCGATACATGCAGGAACTGTTCAAGCAGGTCAGGCTGCAGTACATCCACCCAGCCTTCTTCCAACACTTCATCGCCAACGATGCCCTCCTGCAGTCCTCGCCTGCATGCCAGCTCATCTTGGAGACCGCCAAAAGACAGATGTTCTCTTTGTGTGGCATCAGCACCCCAGACTGCAAACTCCTATTGCATGTCCCTCCAAGAAACTCTTACCAAGATTTCCTCATCCTCTTGGGCGGAAGGAAGGACAGCCAGCAGACCACCAGGGACGTCCTACTGTATAGCAAACAGACTGGCCAATGGCAGAGCCTTGCCAAACTCCCGACACGGCTGTACAAGGCCTCTGCTGTCACCTTGCACCGCAGCGTCTACGTGCTGGGGGGCATGGCTGTCAGCTCAGGGAGGAGTCTGGTCAGTCATAACGTCTACATCTTCTCCCTCAAACTCAACCAGTGGAGGCTGGGGGAGCCCATGCTGGTGGCCCGCTACTCCCACAGAAGCACTGCCCATAAGAACTTCATCTTCTCCATCGGGGGTATTGGAGAAGGGCAGGAGCTCATGGGCTCCATGGAAAGATATGACAGCATCTGCAATGTCTGGGAGAGTATGGCCAGCATGCCCGTGGGGGTGCTCCACCCCGCAGTCGCTGTGAAAGACCAAAGACTCTATCTCTTTGGAGGAGAGGACATCATGCAGAACCCTGTGCGCCTTATCCAGGTAAATGACTGGTTCTTCCCATCACATAACTGCATGAGTATGTGTGCATGGACACACCCACACCTGCATGCACACACATGCACATGCACACATACACACCAACACACACACATATGTACATACATACATATACACACACATATACACAAATACACATATGTATACATGCACACACATATATATGCACGAATGTATATTCATGCATACATACATACACGTGTGCACATATGTATGCACATACCAACATGCATACATGTGCATATGTGTACACATATGCACACATGTATGCACATACCAACGTGCATACATGTGCACATGCGTGCACATATGCACACATGTATGCGCATGCCAACGTGCATACATGTGCACATGCATACACACATACAATTCATGCACACATACACACATATATCTGCACATACATGCACACATTTATACATACACATGAACACAAATACATGCACACACATGTGCACCCATGTACACTCATACAAACACTTGTCATTTGCAAGGAAAGAAGAGAGGAAGGGAGGGAGGCAAGAAGGATTTTCAGCAAGAGTTTAAGGATATCAAATACCATCTCTATGCACAGAGTTTATCTTCATTTGAGGAGAAAAATACATATCTAAAAATTCAAGCTATTATAGAGAATATTGAATGCCAGATAGTGAAGTCCTACAGGAATTTGGCAGACGCTTCTAACTCAAGTCAGTAAGGCCTTAAAAGAAGATTCCCAAGCCTTGGTCCACACCTCTGTGACCAAATCCCCTGGAACCTGACCTCACATCACTGAATCAAAATATCTTTGTATGAGATCCTAAAATATATGGTTTACAAAAGTACCCAGGAGATTCTAAGGGGCAGCCAGGTTGGGAAACCCCTACTTTTAATGATTGGCAGACATTGATTTCACTAACAAGCTCTCTGAGAAATTGATCAACAAAGGTCACATTTCAGAATATTAAGTGTTTTCCAACTTTATGCAAGTCCCTGGTAATCTCCGCAGTTCATCTAATGATATGGGGAACGTGAATATTGAGCCTGCCTTCACAGATAATCAAGAAGCACCCACGAGATGTACTTTGCTCATTTATAAGAGTTATCTTGAACACCAACATGTGAAGGGCCTGGAGACCCAGCAATTTACGCATAGCCCTCAGTTGCAATTCAGATGCTGAAGAAAGGGGTGCTCTAAGAGCACAGGCAGGATGCCCTAAACCAGTCTAGAGCAAGCTTGCCCAACATGCATGCAGCCAAGACAGCTTTGAATGTGGCCTAACACAAATTCATAAACTGTAAAACATGAAGAGATTGTTTTAGCCCATCAGCTATCATTAGTGTTAGTGTGTGCTTTATGTGTGACCCAAGACAGCTCTTCTTCCAAAGTGGCCCAGGGAAGCCAAAAGATTGGACACTGCCGGTCTAGAGAGAATCTGAGAGAGTGCCAGGGTTAAGGGAATGTTGGAGCAAACCCTGTGAAGTTGGCTGAAGCTGACTGAGCAGAGGGGCAGGAGAAGAGAGAGGAAGGTGAAGATGGAGAATAAAAGAGGAGCGAGAGGGGTGGGATGGGTGCTAAGAAATCACGTAAGGAAAGATCCGACTTAGAGAGAGATGCAGGAAGCTCCTGCACCACCTGAAGCTGGAGTCAGGGTTCTCTCTTGAGGGAGGGGGAGTGGTCCTAGGTAAGGGAGCAGCTCATATGAAGGCCCTGAAGCACAAACAGGTGCAGCCCATGGCCTTGGGCAGCGGAAAGCAGGACAATGAAGTTGCAAGACATAGCAAAGAGGAGACGGGCAGTGTGCTGAGGGGTCACTAGGGGCGGGTGTTAGTCCTCCTGCGATTTCCATCAGCCCCCTTCTCAGGTTACCAGGAGCAACCTCCTCCACCCACATCACAGCCCCTGAGCCCCTCCTAGAAAAATCCTGGAACCTTCTTGAGGGATGGATATTTGTGCAGATGAGGCTGGCCTGGCTGGGCTTTCTAGGCCTTGTCAAGGAATTGGGATTAGCCTGAGAGGAACAGAACTTCATTGAAGGCTTTCAAGAAAGGTGGACAAGGTAACACAATTCATATTTTTAGAAGTTCCGTCTGGATGCCTTGTAGAGAAGGGATTGGAGGGGGCCTGTGTGGACAAAGGGGGAGAACTGGGAGACTCTTCTAGACTTCCAGGCATGAGTGGTAATGGCTTGGACTCGGTCAGTTCCAGTGAAGATTTTTTTCTTGCCTTCACTTCTCCAGCCTGTATTTTCAGCTCCTCCCTGACCATCTAGGCAGATTCTGAGTCTTTCCAGAATCACTGTTCCAAATCCCACTCCTCTACTTGAATTGGGAGAGACATTCTGCTCCCCTCCAGGCTCTGACCACACCACACAGATAACAAACTGCTTCCGTGTCAAGCGGAAGCCCCTCCTTCTTTTCTATTGTTCAAAATAGAGTCAACAAATACGCTCATTATTTCACATGGCAAAACTGCCATCGACCTTCTGAAAATAAAATGCAAAGTTTAAGCTTCAAGCTAGCATATCAAGAAATGCATGGTATCATCAAACAAGATATTGCAAAGCCAAGAAAATATTAAACCTCTGAGGGGATCCTTTTGGACTTTAGGATTAAGAAGAGGGAGAAAGGGGAAAGTATTCATTTGGATACTTTTCTTATCTACTTCGCACTAGCTTTGAAATAGACATTCTACTCGTTCGAATATAGTTTAAAATGAATGCCTGGAGTCGCTTGATGGAGCAGGTTGGATTTTCAGGCACAGGTTGAGAGTTTTCCTCATAGGCTCGTTCATCTGTGTGTATGCGTTCTTCTCAGAACTACGCTGCCCGAGGTTACGATGCAAATCGCGCTGTACGTGTACCTTTCTACCTGGCCTTCTCTCTACCTGTTTCTGGATGGCATTAAGCAAATCCTTTACTATAACAAACTATCGCTTCCTTCACTGGTCAAAGTTCATCCTTTGCTATCCTTGCCCCAGTCTCTTTGAGGTATTATGAGCATGGTGAGCAAATGTTTAATCTATTTTTAAAGCCATACCCAAAGCTGAAGGAGAACAGAAGGGCCAGGAGGCAATTATTCATTCAAGTAAAATGCAACCAGTGTTTGCTTTTCTTCCAAGGATCCCACTTTCCAGAGAGTTTGTCACTTATGTATTTTCCAATGAAACAGCCATTGTGACCGTCCCTTCCTCTAGCACTTGGCCTCCTCCAGGCTTCACTGACTTGTTGAAGGACAGACAGAGACCTCAAGAGGTCTCCAGTCTCAAAAGCCTCCCTCAGGGAAGGCCACAGTTTCATGGCTCCAGGCAGAGCCATGAGTGTGGTGGTGAAGAGCATGGACTCTGGGCTTGGTCAGACCAGCTCTCCTACTCACTGTAGTTGTATGACCCTGGGCATGTCATTTGACCTCTCAGAGCCTCAGTGGTCTAATGTGAAAGATGGAAGAAATAATAATACCTACCTCATAGGATGGTTATGAAGCTCAAATTTAGTAAACTGATTATTTAGACATCTTTAATAATGCTGGTAATCTTACTTTATTTTATTTTATTTTTTGAGAAGGAGTTTCACTTTGTCACCCAGGCTGGAGTGCAGTGATGCGATCTCAACTCACTGCAACCTCCACCTCCAGGGCTCTAGTGATCCTCCCACCTCAGTTTCCTGAGTAGCTGGAACTACGGGCGTGCACCACCACACGCAGCTAAATTTGTTTTGTATTTTTAGTAGAGATGGGGTTTCACCATGTTGGCCAGACTGGTCTCAAACTCCTGACCTCCATGATCCACCTACCTTGGCCTCCCAAAATGTTGAGATTACAGGCGTGAGCCACCCCACCCAGCCTGGTAATTTTATTTTATAGGAAAAGATTTTCTAGCAAAGAATACTATGCCATTTTCCTCTGTAGATAAATGTTCTTGTTCCTTCTTTGCTTATGTGAAATTCATCCTATATCTCTTGGCTAAATTTTTTCCATAATGAACTAATTTACATTTGATATTTAGATTTAAAACTGAGGACACTCACAGGAGAACATGTTCCGGAGTGTTGATTTGACACACTGTTTCAAAGCATGGCAAAGAGCCTGCTCCCTTCTCTTCGGTCTTCCTCCCCTTTCTCATGCTGCATTTTTCTAGGACTGTAATGACTTTCAGGCATGAACTGTTCAAAAGACTTCCTCACTCAGCCTCAGATTTATTCTTGGCTCTATGACCTTCTTGGATAAACCAGAATATTTAGAAATTTAAACATGAGCTAGAAATAAAAAATGATTGGAAAACCATTGGTTTCCTGAATACCCAAGTTTCTTCATTTCTCATTAAAAGAAAAACATGTTCCATGCAAGGTAAGTAAAACACGTATTACAATGCAAAACTATTGGTCTATGCTATAGAAATACAGCCACTGAGTTCCTGGGGTCACAATAATATCAATTTTTAATAATACGCTTCTTCCTGTTTTTCAATACTGTTTTGTTTATTGAGCAGTAGCTACATTTTTAAAACTGGAGAAAAGTAGAAAGAAAAATCTCACTCCTAGTTCACCCTCTTAATTACTACTCCTGTCTTTTTTTAAGAATATTTCACTTTAAAATGCAGTGCCATGATTCTATCTCTCCCTCAGGTTTATCACATTTCCAGAAATTCGTGGTTCAAAATGGAGACAAGAATGATCAAGAACGTGTGTGCCCCTGCAGTGGTGCTCGGGGAGCGGATTGTCATTGTGGGAGGTGAGTCTGAACAGAAGATCACTGGGCGTGACACAAACTTGGCACGTTCTATGGAAAAAAGGTCACTCATAGACAGATGTTATTCTACAAGATCGTCTTTTTAAAAGCACATCCAACCAACCAGAGGAGCGTGCAGAATCTGACAAAACTCTTTCCTCACCCAGAAGTTTCTCCCTGTCTTTTTCTGTAAACAAGGGATGAAATAACAGCTATCTCCCAGAGCTGTTGTGATAATTAATGTGCTCATGTATCTAAAGCACTTAACACTCTCCCAGATACACAGTCAATAAAAAATGTTTGCTTCTGCTAATAATATTAGCTACTAATAGTTTGTTTCTCTGTAATCAGAGTATAGTGTCATGGTTAAGAGGACTGGTATTGGGGTCAGATAGACCTTGATTCAAATCCTGGCTCTGTCACTAACTAGCTATATACTTTTTACCAAGTTAAACATCTTTCTGTGCCTCAGTTTGCCCATCCATAAAAGGAGGATCCTAAAAGTAACTACCAAGATAGGGCTGTTGTGAGGAACCCACTTCTGAGTTTCCAAAGGATTGTCATAGTTCTTGAGTGGGCATTTGAGAGAGGAAGAGGCCAAGGAGGCTGAGAAAGTTACAGGAATCAGGAGGCTGCTCTCTATCTAAGAATGGCTTATATGCTGCCTTAACTTGGGGCGAAGGTCAGAGTCAGATCTGCGTGCAGCCCCCACTCCGCCACAAAGCAGGCCTTGGCAGGTTAGCTCAACATCCCACGCTCTAGTTCAGGGTCCCAGCCTCAGTCTTGAGCAGTGGCAGGAGTCAGACAGGACTGCTGACCTCCAGTACCAGATGAGCAACGCTGAGCTTGCCCATGTGTCATTTGGTTTTCAGGTTACACAAGGAGGATTCTTGCTTATGACCCTCAATCCAACAAATTTGTCAAATGTGCGGACATGAAAGACCGGAGGATGCACCACGGGGCCACCGTGATGGGAAACAAACTCTACGTGACGGGCGGGCGGCGGCTGACCACGGACTGCAACATTGAGGACTCCGCCTCCTTCGATTGCTACGACCCCGAGACGGACACCTGGACATCCCAGGGACAGTTGCCACACAAGCTCTTTGACCACGCCTGCCTCACTCTCCAGTGCATACCCCGCACATCCGCCCTCCCATGAGGTCGACAAGAAACCTTCTGTCCCAGTCAAAATGCCTTCTGTTGCAAGGGACACAAACCCAGTTCCAAAGGGCTTAACCCTTAAAGGCTGCAGGGAGAGCTCACAAGACTGAGGTACCAGAGTCTGGAGGCCTGGAACTAGGCATTGCATTGCCCGAACTCTCTCTCTCCTTCTCTCCCTCTCTCTCTATCTCTCTCCCCCACCTCCATCTGTCTCCGTCTCTCCCCCTTTTTTCTTTCTCTCTCTCCCCTATCTCTGTCTGTTTCTGTCTCTCTCTCTCTCTCTCTCTTTTTTTTTTTTTTTTTTTTTGAGATGGAGTTTCGCTCTGTAGCCCAGGCTGGAGTGCAGTGGCGCGATCTCGGCTCACTGAAGTCCCCATCTCTCAGGTTCAAGCGATTCTCATGCCTCAGCCTCCTGAGTAGCTGGGATTATAGGCATGTGCCACCAAGTCCAGCTAATTTTTGCATTTTAGTAAATATGGGGTTTCACTATGTTGGCCAGGTTGGTCACGAACTCCTGGTCTCAAGGATCTGCCAGCCTTAGCCTCCCAAATGCTGAGATTACAGTCGTCAGCCACCACACCTGGCCTGTCTCCTTTCTGTCTCAGTTTCTCTGTCTCTCTTCTCTCTCTCTGAGTCTGTCTGTCTCCCTCTCTCTGCTTCTCTCTCTTCTTTGTCTCTCTGCCTCTCTCTGCTCTGCCCTGCCCCCCACTCTCTCTCTCTGTCTCTCTCTCTCTCTCCCCTCTCTCTTTCTCTCTCTCCTCCCTAGGTTTTCCTCTCTCTCTACCTCATCTCTATTAGGCCTCCTTCTCTAGCAAGCTTCTTCATTTACCCATACAGTGTGTGGACAATAACAAACGATAAACCCAGACTCATTTTCCAACTTTATATCTTCAGGAGAGAACTTTGCTGTTATCCATATATTAAACCTAAAAAACAATGCTTATGGGCCTTTTTTGAATTCCATGACTACCTCTTGAGCCAATCACTGTTGCCAGGACTGGCTAATCCTGGACCACATCCCCACAAACAGAGGTGGGGTTACCTGTTGTGACTGACAGCCCATCCAAACTGCATGTAATGAGTTAGAAGCATTTCCCCAAAGGGAGAAATCCAGATAAAACCACATCTGCCCAGGATACCACTGAAATCTGGAACAAGAGGGCTGAGAGACCCCAGAAGATTCCTGACTGCTTGGTCCAGGTGGCAGCGTGAGAAATTGGCCCTGACCTTGTTTTTCTGCATTCTATGGATGTAGTACATTGAAATTCCAGAGACGTATGCAACATTCAGTATCTAACGTTTGTAAAATTATCCTGCACTTGCCAGAATAAAGTTTGTTTCTGGTGCCAAATGATGTTTTTCTGCAGCCTCTGGGGAGCTATAAACCTGCATAATTAATCAGGATGTTCATTTTGGTCAGTGTTACGAGGACTGCTCTTCTGGGGAACGTCAACAAATTCCTTCAGTGCTTACAGCAGTCATTGCCCTCAGATGCCAGGCCTGACTATCTCTATAGCCCCCGTTATCTTGAGGTGCCTCCCACACTGGCTCAGTCCCAAACACAGGAATAAGCTGAAGTGGAAAACAGCAGTTCTCAGTGCTGCCTGCACAACACAGTCATCTGGGAAGATGTTTGAAAATGGGGCCAGCCCCATTTGAGAAAAATGAATAGGGATGCTTTTGGGAGGGGGGCAGAACACTATAGTTTTTGAAAAGCTTCCCAGATGATTGAAATGTACAGTCAGGGTCGAGAATCACTGCCCTGCTCAGCTGTGGGCACAGAAGACCTGCATGGTTGGTTTCATTCCCCTCCTGTCCTGGTCAGCCGTCCCGAGCCCACCGATGTAGGCGAAGTCCTCTCCCCACCAACAGAAGCATCTGCCATCAGTCTTGCTGCCCTGAGCCTGGTACCAGAGTTCAATCCAAGCTGTAGCCTTCCTCCCCATCTAGCTCTCCAGGTTCATGTTCTAGAGTTTTCCTTCTTTCTAAGTTGTCTTTTTTGTACTTTGGATTCTCCTGCTGGGGTCTGAAGCTCTGCTCTGCTCCCGAGATCTCTTGGCTGTGGTTCAGAGACCCTGCTTGGATCACCAGCCCTGCTCCTCAGCCTGGACACTGTCCCCTCCTCTGCTGCCTGGCATCTTGTTCTTGAGCAATAGTCAGAGTGATCTTTTTAAAACACAGACCTGCTCATATTATGCCCCTGCTTAAAATTATTCCATGGCTTCCCAGAGACCTTTGCATAAAGCCCCCAATCATTTATGTAGCTTCTAGTGCATTCCCTACTCCAGCATCCACCTATCTCTCTGGCTTCATCTTTTGCCACCCTCACTTCTTGAAGTTGTCTCAGCTCCAGTCATCCTTCTTTCCTTTACACCCTCCTCTCTTGCCTCAGGGCCTTTGCACATGCAGTCATCACTACCAGAAACACACCTCTCTTGCCTCGTCACCCTACATAATTTTGACTTACACCTTACATACCAGATTAAAAGTCACAGCATCAAGGTGTCTTCTATGCTTGCCCTGCTCCAGTTTGGATCAGCTCTCCTATTAATACCCCTATCATTCCCCCTTTTGTTTTTTGTTTTCATTTTTGTTTTGGAGACGGAGTTTCACTCTTGTTGCTTAGGCTGGAGTGCAATGATGCGATCTCGACTCACTGCAACCTCCGCCTCCTGGGTTCAAGCAATTCTCCTGCCTCAGCCTCCCAAGTAGCTGAGATTACAGACCTGCACCACCACACTCGGCTAATTTTGTATTTATAGTAGAGACGGGGTTTTACCATGTTGGTCAGGCTGGTCTCAAACTCTTGATCTCACGTGATCCACCCACCTCGGCCTCCCAAAGTGCTTGGATTGCAGGCATGAGCCATCACGCCCGGCCCCCTATTCTTCTACTTTGAGACTCTCAACCTGTTCGTAATTATTTGATCACTGTCTTCCCCTCTAGACTTCTTATTCTGTCCTGTTCACCTCTGCATTCTCAGGGCTGGCCTCAGTGTCTGCCACATACATTATAGATCTTCCATAAACACATGATAAATGAATTAGTAAATGAATGAAGAGGCTGGATCTACATCGTCTCTGAGATCTCCATCACAAATTCAGAGGTACACGTGTTGAGGCACTAGTTCCTGTGCCCCAGATCCTCTGCTCAGAGTCATTCTGTCCTTCCCTCTTTCTTTCCACCTGACCCACCCTGAATTGAGCCTGACAAGTCTGGGTAGGGTATGAAGTCACATGGCCCACCTGGATCAAGCCTGGTGGGCGAAGGGCTTTATCCAGGGCACCCCAGCTGCCTGGAATTAGAAGTGGGAGTCTTGTCTATAAATGCTTTCTGTGGCCTCCAAAAGTCCTTCTGTTGGAGGCTTGCTAATCCCTTCACTGTCTTTTCCTTTCCTCTCAGTCCAATGTTTCATAAGCTGTCAGAGTCTGTGGCTACTCACAGCTTGTCCAAGTCACCCTGGGGTACAAAAGAACTACATAAATTGTCTCCTGGGATTTATAAAGAAAGATGGCACTAGGGCCAGACACATCGCAGGCCAGCTTTGTGTGCCAAAGAAGACACCTTCATGACCGGCGAATCCACCCACCTGGGCATCCCAGCGGCCAAACCCATTATCTGAATTAGGTTGCAAAATAATCTGCAGAATATGAGGGCACGTCTCCAACCTGCCGAGGACAATCTCAGCCCAGAAAGAAAGAGAGACGGTTTTGGCACAAGGCTTCATTGGCCTCACTGGCTGGGTAGAGAGTCACAGTCCATGGCTGAGGTCAAAATATATTTAGCCAGCCGCCGTTAAACTGAAACGTTCTAAGTGAAAAATGTCAAACAGCCTGGCTAATCATCTCAACAGGCAATGAGGGAAGAGAGAAATTGAAGGAGGTTTCTTTCTTTCAGCAAGAAAACACAAAGATCAAACACCCCATGCCAATGCAAAGCAGAGAGCAGAGGAGGAGCCAGTAGAGAAAATAGCAATGGCAGGAAGGAACTGAAGCAGGGAGAGGGCAGTGGGGAGCAGGACCTGGGAAGACTGTGGCATTCAGTATCGCACAATTCACCCGACTCCTAGCTGGCATCTTAAAAGAAGGCCTGGCTGTCCTGAGGTCTCCATCAGACCACTCACCGGCCAGGGCATGACCAGCTAGTTACTGCATCAGGCCATCCCCCGGCAGAGGGACATGGCCCCAGCAGCAGAGTCACTAGAATCCTGGCTCCTCCCTTTGAGACACTTCCTGATACTCTGCCCTTTGAGACCCTCCTGATACTCTGCCCGTAAGCAGTGGTGGCTCTGAGGGCGAACCCTTCCGCCCTGGAACCTCCACTCCCCCTCCAGGTGGCCACTTCCTATGATCCTGCCTCAACCTCTTCAGCATCCACTCTTTCTGCTAACAACACAAAGGATCAAGTATCTACTTCTTAAAACCAAAGTCCCAGCATAGGCTGAATTTACCACTGCCACCTATAGCAAAAGCCTGTCATGTCCCAGAGGACAAGGACTGTGACTGGTCTGACTCAAACACATCATCCTGCCTGGGATGTCTGGGTCCTCCCCTAACCCCAAGAAGCCATGCACATCATGCCTCTGTGCCTTTGCACATGTTAGCCCCTCTGCTATGACGCCTTTCCCTACCCTTCCTAGTCAACTCCTACTTGACCCACACCTCCTCTGTGGAGCCTTCTCCAACCTTTCTACCCAGGATCCCTCCCTTGATTCTAGCCTCTGTCACATTGACGCACAATAGGGACTTACTGAATCAGTCTGGAGTGGGAGCTCTTAAAGGGGGCAAGGACAGAGGCTTGGTGCCCTTTGAACTCCCAGGCCAAGCTCAGTCGGTGTTTGGCAGACGATGTTCACATGCTTGTGGGATGAATGAATGGATGTATGAATGAATGGGCCCCAAACATCATCAGGGTGTCCAGGCTGCTAAGGGGTGAAAACAAGGGCTAAATTATCAGACAAAGTGGGGGTTCAGATCAGAGAGAAACCTAGATGGTGTCTAACCTTTAAAAATGATTGCAAGGCCAGACGCAGTGGCTCACGCCTATAATCCTAGCACTTTGGGAGGCCAAGGTAGGTGGATCACTTGAGCCCAGGAGTTCAAGACCAGCCTGGGCAACGTGATGAAACCCTGACTCTACAAAAAGGATACAAAAATTAGCCAGGCGTGGTGGTGGGACCTGTGGTCCCAGTTACTCTGGAGGC